ATTGATAGCGACCGAGTTCGTTTTCTGCTGGGCGATTGTCGTTACATGGCCTCCAAGACCCTGGCTGATTTTTCCGTGAAGTGTTTGTGCGGTTGTGCTGCCGTTCCTGCTGGCGCGGCGGCGGCTCGTGCCCTGCCGGCATTTTCGCACTTTGACTTCAAAACATTGCTTCTACCCTCAACACCCAACACCATACTTTTGACACGCTAACATGCCAAAAGTTCAGACCATCGGTGGCGGTGGGAGACCACCCCGCAAACCTTACAATCAGGCCCCGTACAAGGGCCACTACGCCCAGCGTGACGTTCCTCCGCCTGAGAGGTAAGTGCACACACAGTTCACCAGCTGGCCAGCATACTGACATGAGATGAATACAACAGAGGCTGGAAAAACAGCTGCATCCGTTGCGGCGAGCCCAAGCACGAGGACACCAAGTGGTGGCAATGCACCGGACGGTGTTACTTCTGCGGCTTGTGGGACCACCAGGGCAAGTGGTGTTCTCTGAGGGGACCCAAGTGGTATCGTCGCTACGGCGGTTGGGATGGGGAGAGTTACCATCCAGTATGGAACCCCAACCCCGATGATGGTGAAGCAGACCATCAGACGTCCCATGTTGGTTCACGGCACCAACGCGACTCCAATGTTGGTGAAGAGGGCCAGCATTCCTACAGCCATTTTGCCGAGTCCAGCGTCGGCAACGCCCCAGTTGGCGGCGGACTGACTTCGATTGATACCGATGCATCATCGAGGCTTTTGATCCAGTTCCTGGGCTCAATACTTCTGCAGTGGGGGCAGCAGCAGCAGCCTCAGACCGGTCAGCCAGAGGCACCTACTCGGACTTGGGGCAGTCTTACAGCGGCTCTACCTTACCCAGAAGGTGAAAACTCACGTGGTAGAGGCAGAGGTAGAGGTGGAGGTAGAGGCAGAGGTGGCAAAGGTGGCAGACACTCCCGAGGCTCGTAAACCAGTCACTGCATCATGTCAACTAGCTTGCAGAAGAACGGCCTGCAGGAGACAAGCCTGCAGGAGAAAAGCCTGCAGAAGATCCAGAGGAAGATGTGAAGATCAAGGTGGGAAATGAAGTAAAGATCGAGGGAGAGGAAAAGTAGGTACCGGCACTCCCGATGCGAGGTTTCGGAGTTTCGCAAAGCTGGCTGAATGCAAGCATCCTGACTGATCGCGCAAAGGACAGTACTTTCGGAAGGCCACAGAGGTTTGTGAAAGCCCCTCTTCTTCTTTGACCTTCGAGCTGATTCCAACGACAGTGGAGCACTCTGTTTGTTTGACTTTGGGATGAGCTGTCGCAGAGTTGGCCGATTTCTTGAAACCACGCGAATGCACACGAAACATTCGCTGGATGACAGAGTTGAGCTCTTGAGCTCGGTGTTGCTCTGGAAGGCAGAGTAGACCCGCGGCAGGATGGCTGTTTGAGCCTGGCATTGCTCTAGGGCATCAGAGTAAGTGCATGATTGAGACTTGAAGGTCTTCGGAGCAGACCGAGGGGAGGAGGGTCGATCGATTACTCCCAAACTAGCAATGAAGGCTCCCTCGCTCCGGTTCTTGAAACTCATTGTGCTCTGTGACCTTGGTAGAAACGGAATGAATTCGATTGGCAGCCGCTGTACTATTGTTTGTCTTGACTTGTGTCAGTGAAGCTTGATACCACACACGCCGCCTAGGGAGGCACTCACTGGCCGCCAATGAATGCGTTTTGGGACGATGTGTTAACAGGCCAAGCGGAAGCGAAAGTTTTGAAAAAGAAGCGATGGGTGGCGCCGTTCTCCGGTGGCTCGGCATGCTGGCGGTGCGGAGGTGCTCCAACGGAGGGCGCAAGTCCGCTCACAACCCACCGTCCTACTAACACCAAACATCAAAAATCGAACATCGAACAACGTCGTCAAGGTACCGCTATCACAGCTGAATCTACGCAAACGCGTACTGACGCTTGTGAAGATGCCGCCAGAATCGCCATCCCAGCAAGAAGGCGAGTTGTCTTCGTCGATCAGTGAGTTTTTCGCGTTTGTCGTGTCGCGTCCCGTCGCGTCGCTTGGTGTTGAGCCCCACTAACATGATCCAAGACACCACGAGGCCTGGCCAACCTCAACGTAAGTTCACTCTACGTCCCTTTGAACCATCTGCTCATGCCGCAAAGCAGAGCAAAACCCTGGTGCGCCTGATGGTCCACCTGCTGCCGCGCCCGTTGGTGCGCAGCCGCCCAAAGAGATCCCCACCCCCGAGAAGATCAGTAAGCGTCCTATTCCTCTACAATCCCGAACGCAGTATGATCTAACGTGTTTGGTTTTACAGTGGCTGTCTGTGGCCGCCAGGATGCATTGGTGAGCCAGTTTGGGAAGCACTTGCCCATACTGGATCCCCACGTGCCAACGGATCCGTTCGCGTTGGAGAAATGGCGGAAGATAAGGGATGAGAGGTATCGAATTGTGGATCTCTGCAAGGAGCTCCAAGCACAGGAAGCCCATAGGCAGTCGAAGCAGGGTCAAGCCCACCCAACTCTCCTCAAGTCAACGGCCCCCCAGGCGCCCTCTGGCACCTCGAGCCCTGGCCAACCTCAAGGTAAGAACAGTCCATGTCCTTTTGAAGCATCTTCTCATGTCGCGTAGCAGAGCAAGCCCCCGGTGCACCTGCTGCTGCGCCGCCTGCTGCGCAGCCTCCGGCTGTTGACAAGCCGCCTCGCAGGCAATACACCGCCCAGGAGCGTCGTGAGTATCCCATGTCTCGGCCTTTGCTGAAGTACTGTCTAACACGCTCGGTTTATAGAAACCGCGATCAACGGTGTGAATCGTTTCGCGAGGCGTATGGGATGGGACTTGCCCATCCTTCCCACCTTGTTTCCACCCGAGGATCCGGTCCTGCGCGCTGAGTGGAACGAGATACGCGATGAAAGGGCTCGCATTGTCAAGCTCCTGAAGGCGCAGAAAGAGCGCGAGGCCGCGCAGTCGACGAACCAGAAGCCGGCGCCGCTCACGACGATGGCCCCCAAGGCCCCATCCGCCACCCGCGATGCGGCCTCTGGCACCTCGAGCCAGGTGATGCGTCTGGCATCATCGAGCACCATCGGCAAGCAGGAAGCTGATGCCCAGACGATGGCCGAGGGCGGAGAACTGCCGGAGGAACCGGACATGCAGAAGGAGAAGAGGAAGCGTGAGGACGAGAAGGACGGCGTTTCTGGCACGGTGTCGAAGAAGGCGAAGGAATGATGGGGGGCTACTGTCCAGGACATTTGCGTGACTTCACGCCCAGAACCACGTAGCTCAATGAACCTTTGAGCTCAAACATCTGCTCCCCATGATTTCATTGTGATTCTGATGTACCAGTCTGCGGTCCCGGACGATGTTTGCGACCAAGCCGTTTGCCGCGGAGTTTGCAAAGCGTCTGCTTGTCGTCGACTGTTGAAATAGCTTCAGCAGTAGCAGCTGGCGCTTCTGCTCCCGACCTCTTTTCATACTGCCATAGGAAAGATCGAAGCCCTGAGTGATGGGACTTTTGCCGTCTTCGACGCTGGCGGTGGGACACTATACCAAGCGGTATATGACTTGGGCCGCGGACCCTCGATGCTTGAGTGCATGGTGTTTTTTTCTGACCAAGGGAGCATGAATGCTCCCTGTCGTCTCCCATTCTCTCAGATTAACACAAATGCGGAGTCTGTGTTATTTTTTCCTGGTCGGCAGCGGAAGAAGAGGGTGCGCCAACGGCGAGCGGGTATAGAAGCGCCGCGCACCCAGCGCCCTCCAACTCCAAACACCAACATACAGGCACAGCCTTTTCGCGAACACCACGAAGTTGCGACCTCGGCGCCGTGGTCTTGCGATTTCGACTTCGCAAATGGCTCCGCCCTCTCCTCCGCCAAAGGATTGCTCGCCTGCCGGTAAGATGTCGCTCGAAACGCGTCGTATTGAGCTCCACTGACAGATTTGCAGACAATGATAGCTCTGGAAAGCTTGAAGGTCAGCATAAGTCAGCTCCAAAGGCCGCAGAATTCACTGACTCTTTCTTCAGAGCAAATCCCCGCCGCGAAACCTGCCAGCTCCGAGCGCCCCAAGTCCTACCAATACACGGACGACCAAATTCGTAAGAGAAGCGCCCTCTCATGATACCAGCCACCATCTGCTGACGATTTCGACAATACAGGACAGTCTCGCGATGCTCTTGAAGATCTGGCGAAGGCTTTGGGATTCGGGATGCCCGGGCTTGTCAACCTGCACCCGCCTCCCGGCTACTGCGGATGGTACACCCAGACAAAGAGCGTCATCGAGCGGGAGCGTGCATATTCGATGGCCAAGATCGAGGCTTGGTGTGAAGAGCAGCGTGCGTGTCAGATGGCCAAGGTCGAGGCCTGGTATCGAGGAGCTCAGAAACATCGCGGCTGCAGAGGCCGCCGGCCAGACCAACGCTGATGGCAGGGCTACGGGCCAAGGCAGGGCTCCACCATTGTTACCGACGTTGGCGAACGGAAAGAGGAAGCATATGGAGGAGGTCGACAGTGTTGATGGCTCCGTTGCGGGTCCAAAGACAAAGGCCACCAAGATCGAGGCAAAGAAGTGATTGCGGAGGCTGCCGACGAGAAAGTTGCTGCGTTTGGATGCCCAAAATTACCAGGTAGCCCAATGAACCTTATTTGAGCGCCACCATCTGCTCTTCGTGATAATGTCGTGCTGTTGATGTGCCAGACGGTGAGGTGGTTGACCATAAAAGCTCCCTGGATGCAGTCGTGTCGGGAAACGAATGCTCCATATGCCCAGCGGTGTAGATGCAAGACAGCCCCCCAAATGTAGTCAGTCGTGTTGAGAGACAAATGCTGCGTGTGCCCAGCTTTGGTCCGTCAGGGCGTGCCGCGAGTGGCCATCGCATTCGAAATCCGTCTTGCAGCCAGACCACCGTGAAGCGTAAAAGAGGTACCAATCTGCAGGCATGATGGCCTGGAGCCCACACCGACAAAACAAACCCCCTTCCTCCTCTTCATGCCAAAGTCCAAAAAGAGATTCCATCGCCGAGAATCGAACTCGGGCCTCCGGACATGCTGCAGATACTAAGACCAACCATAAGCGCCCAAAGCTTCCAATGGGGCTCCCTCCCGCCACACCTCAGCCGGTCAGAGCAGTATGCGGTCCGGCGGGCTACCACTGCACCACGACGGATTGTTTTTGATGCTGAGTGGGGTGGGTTTTGCGATGTATAAAGTAGGCTGCGGGCGCGGTTGCCCTTGTTTGTGGGGATTGGGAGTTTGGTGACTGCAGTTTGCTTGTTGTCGGCGGCATGCGTCTTCGTCGCCGCCGCCTGTTGTCCGCGAACCTCACTGCTGGGCGCTCCTTATACCCGTAAACTTGGGCATGCTCAACCGGCCGGTATTAACTGTGGAATGCTTCTTCGTCGCCATCACCTCTTGTACGTAAGCCCCACTGCTGGATGCTCCCCGTGCGAGTACGCTCAGGTGTGCGGCGTGCGTACCATTTGGCCAGGCGGGCTACCATTGCACCACGATGGACATTTGATTCTGAATAGAGTGGCTGACTGACAATATGAAGCAGCATGTAGGTGGATGCAGCAGAAGCGCAGAAACTTCGACGCAGCAATGGCGTCCTGCTTCTCAAACCTGGAGTTTTGCGATGGTTGGACGGAAGCGGAGTAGACTGCTGGGAAGAAGTGAAGTAACAGCGTCCAAATTCGGTGTTCATGTACTATTGCAACGTGCCGGATAGAGTTGGGAGTTTTTGAGCGTGTGCGTGCCCTCTACACTTCTCGCGATGACGTCGTGATGTTAACGCGCAAGACCGCAACCTCGCTCGGCACCAGACCCGGGAATCGACGAGACAAAACAGAGCACCTGCCCCTGCCTGCCGTCCATCTGCCACTCGGCCCTTTCTCCCCCCTCACTCGACGAGCCGAGCCGGCGGTCGAAAAAGATAGGCGAGCAAAAAGATATTCCATCGCCGAGAATCGAACTCGGGCCTCCAGACATGCTGCAGATACTAAGACCGACCTTAAGCCTATGCGCATCTCAAGCATAGGCTCCCTCCCACCCCCTCAGCCGGTCAGAGTAGTGTGCGGCCTGGCGGGCTACCACTGCACCACGACGGATTTTTGGTGCTGAATAGGGCGGCGTTTGCGGAATATAAAGCCAACCGTGAGCGCCCGCCGCCACGGCCGCAGGCGCATGGCGCCGCAGCAAGATCCAGAAGACTGGCTGAGCGGCTGCTCAGTCTCGAGGGTCCGGTAAATAGTAATCCGCATCGCCTCGCCATTCTCTTGGGCTTCACTGCCCAGCGCCAACATATCCACCGGATGCGTCGACGTTATCGCCATTGAGGCTGCCGACACCTTCGCCAAAGGAAAGCAGCTGACTGAACAGCAGCTGACTGAACAACACTTGCTGAGTCTGTCCGCTGCCTGACGGGCTGACCGGCCACGCACTCGTCCTTTACCGCGCACGATGGCAGCCCGCATCGCCTCGACACCCATGCTCTTGAACTCCACTGTCCAACGTCAATCCGCCAGTGCGCATGGATGCTCCCACCATCGAGGCTGTCGACAGAGTCCATCAATATCGAAACAAACCCAGGCGCACGGATTCTTCTGGCCGTCTGTCGTTCGAGTTCTGCTCGGCTCGTCCGCCCGACGCACCCTTGTCGTCCGCCACCACCGACATCCCAGCTCCTGTGCAGAATAAGCTCAAGCTTAAAAATAAGCTTACTTGCGTCCGCGCGCCGAACACGAGGACAGAGAAAAAACGGAACGACGAGCAGACGCGTCAGCCAAGAAAGAGTCGCGCCTCGCAGGTGAAGATGGGCTGACAGTGCTAGCCGTGGCGCAAGAGGGCAGGGGGGAGACGAGGAAAAGATCATGAAAGATGGATGGGCGAGGATAGGTGGGTAGGTGCTGTGCCGTGTATCAACATACATACATACAAACATACATACATACATACACACAAGAGATGCTTCAAGTGATCAAGATGCCGGCTGAATATGCCATGAGATCCATGTTATGCAAAGCAAAGCAACGCAATGCAAAGCCAAAAAAAGGGTCGCGTCAGACGACAGCCATCACCGCGCGACCAGCGGGGATTAAGAATACAAAGAGCGCGCGCGCTCGCTCAGCAACGACGACAACGAAGAAGGAAAGGGTTTTTGCAAAAAGATCCAGTCGAGTGTTTGTACCGCCGACTCTTCGAGCGTCAGAAGAGATGTGGATGGTTTTTGTACAGAAAAGAGGGGACCGTCCGACAGGCGGGGCCCAAGAAGTGAAGAAGAACAAAGCAAAGACAAAAAAGACCAGTATCCACTCCACCAGCTACCCTTGGGCGTCATAACAGGCGTCTGCGTTCAATATTCAACAGGAAAGATTCAAAGCTTCCTCGCGCCGAAGCCGCTGGGGGCGGCGACACCCTTTTGCAGGGTGCGGAAGCCGGCGCTGGGGAAGGGGGCGGAGGCGCCCTCGCTGGACGGGACGGGGTAGTAGGGGCTGAAGTCGGCCTGGATGGGGGTGTGGGTGGCCGAGACCTCGGCGGCGGAGACGGGGCAGACGGTCGTGTAGACGTCAATGGTGGCCGTGACGACCTTTTCGGTGCCCGACTCGGTGATGGTCGACAGGGCCGTCTTGTAGACGGTGCTAGTCGTCATGATGGTGGTTGGGGCGGCCGAGCTGACGTCGGCGACCTGGACGGACGAGCCAGAGGGGACGACAGTCTGAATGCGTTAGAAGGGAATGCTCAACATGGAAAAGAAACGTACCACAGTGACAGTCTCGGCCGGGGCAGTGACGGTGACAGTCTTGCCAACGCAGCTCGAGCCAGAGGTGACAGCCTCGGCGGCAACGGCGCCACTGGACGCGACGGAGCCAGGGGTCGTGGTCGGGCGGACGGTAATGTACTTGGTAATGGTGGAAGTCGACGAAATGGTCGTGGTAGGGCTGGAGGCGGCGCCGGCAGGGCTAGAAACCTCGGCGGCAACGATGCTGGCCGGCTTGGAGGCGTACACAGTCTCGACAATGGTTTCGACGCTGGTGGTCTGGATCGTGGTGGTAACGACAGTCTTGGAAGCCGTGCCGAGAGTGTACGTCAAGGTCCTGTCAATCGTCTTGGTAACGAGGGTCGTGCCGGGGGCTACGGGGCTGGCATCCGGGGCGCTGGGGCTCGGGGATGAGCCAGTGCCGAGAGGGACCGATGGGGCCTCGAGAGCAGCGACATCGCTGGCGGTAGAGGCAGGAGTTGCAGAAGCAGAGGCCTCGGCGGCGGTGACGGGGCAGACGGTGGTGTAAATGTCGACAGTGGCCGTGACGACCTTCTCAGTGCCAGATTCGGTGATTGTCGAGAGGAGCGTGCTGTAGACGGTCGAAGTGGTGTACGAGGTGACATCCAGAGCGGCAACGCTCGAGTTGGAGTACTGGCGAGGCAGGACCTTGAAGTGCCTGGGCTCAGAGGCGGCGGCGAGGACGGCCAGCGAGGCGGCGGAGAAGAGGGTTGAAAAGTGCATTTTGCAAATCAAGACGTGGGCGAATCCTCAAAGAGCGACAGACGCAAGAAGGGCAAAAACGAGTGTGGTGACCTGAGTCCAGAGAGCGAGGAAAGCAGCGAGCGAAAAACAGAGGGCGAGGGAGTGACGGGGTAGATATTGGCAAAGGATGGGGACCAAGCGCCGCGGCGGTGATGATGGAGGGCCCAGCATCAGGAACAGGTTAGCCGCCGGGCAGCGCAGGGTCCCGGTGGATGGATATGACAGGCCCCTGAGTGCGACATGGCTAGTGACCGCAAGCTGTGCGACGAGGCAGTCGATGGCATCGAAATCGAGTGTTTCTACACCAGGCGGTCAGCTTGATCAACGACATATCTGGCGGGGGCTCTCAGACCGTCGTCGGACCACCGAATGGCCACCCTCTCTGCTCATCTCGGCAATGGCAGGACATCATCGACGCGTGCCGGCAAATCGCTCGCATCGCACATGGGGATCAACAGGTACGGTACCGCCAGGTGCACCATCGGGCTGCAACAACGGGAGCAGGAAAACGGCGAGGCGCTGCCGTGGTGGACGGCTGCGTCGCGATGCTGCGAGATGGTGTTGTGGGAGGAGACGATTGGCTTGTTGGGCAGACCCTGTCGCAGCGGGCGGCCCGAATTGCAGGGGGCAGGTGTTTCAGTGGCTGCCAAATCTCCGACCTCTAGACACCACCTCCCTCTCTCGATGCAGTTTGGCTTGTTCCGTTCGCTCAACAACAAATTCTTTGACCGCTCCCGACCTGCCTGCAATCCTTCCGGCCCGGTGCATCTCTCGCTGGCCGCTCATCCGTGCTGGTGCTCTGGCTGACCCCTGGCCCATGCATCCTCCAGCGGGAGGAACACGACCCTAGGCCTTCCTTTGAGCCTCTTCCGTGCCTGAGGCGTCCAAGTCTCTCAGCCGCAGGCCATAGACGGCTCGAGCGATATTCAATTCTCGGCAGCGCCATCATTGAGCGCCAAAGGATTCGCAGACTCGGCATTCGTGAGCGACGACAGTCCATTCGCCGTCCTCAAACCGCAAATCTCAGCCTGAAATTTGGTGCCCCGCAACAGCCAACCATCTGACGACGACGGCCAAGCGATAGCGCTCCTCGCGGTTGGTCCATAAGGCTGCCTCCCTTGCTCCCCAGATCACCGTGGCACAGCGTTTGCTCCGTGGCAGCCAAAGCATGGCGACGAGGCATGTGCGTCCACTCGTGGCAGCAGAAACTTCTAGACGCTCATTTCGTCGAGTCCTGTCTCATTCTCGCTGATGAGCGCAGCTGAGGGCGAATCCCGATGAAACGGCCTCATTTCTTTCAACATCATTCTTGCTCGGGCACAAAAGACATTTGCCAGCGCCTGTCTTCGCCGTCCAACCCGTACGGAATACGAAGTGCAGACGACCAAGTCATCGCCCCCAACGCCATCCCCCACTTTCGCGAGCTTTACAACACTGCCAGCACGGACGTTGGATCGTGGCGTGCGGGTTCTGGACTGGCTAGCCCATCTTGGCAGTTCTGGAGCGGTACTTGTCCGTATTCACGACGCTTCTCTTCCGAGGTCGACCATCTGTCTGCACCACTGAAATACAGAATGCATGCTCGACGGGGAGAGGGGGCAGCGTCTCGTCCAGTTTCAACAGTTTTGAAAGGGAAAGAAGAGCAA